CGGTGATTCCTCCTCGCTCCCGCTGCCTGCTCCAGCTGCCTCCTGCTGTGTGCTGCTGCCTGCTGCTGCCTCCTGCTGCCTCCTGCTGCCTCCTGCTGCCTCCTGTTTCTTGCTCGGGCTGGTGCTGCTGGTGACGGGCAGGCACGACCAACCACGAATGACGACACGACGGCCGCCAAGGAGACAAGGCACAACTGGCGGGCCGGTGAAGTGCCGGGGTGCCTAACGGCGGCGTGCGGGAGGCCTGAGTAGTTCGAAAACGAACTACTCAGATCTCCCCCCAAAATTTTTACCGGGCCTCTGCGCAGCCCGGGAAAAAAATTTCTCGCCCACGGAGGCAATTTCCCCTGGTACCCCACCGGGTCTCCCACCCCCCCCCGAACTTTTTTTTTTTTTTTTCCACGACCCCTGTTTTGGCTGATGCGCTGCATGCCGTGCGCGCGCCGGCTGTGCTCTGTGCTCTGCGCCGCACGTGCCGTGACGCCGCGCACGGCATGCGCCGCAAGTATGATATTGAAGTACTTACGCGATGATATGCTGAGTAGCTATGCTACACTCACCTGTCGGTATACTGAGTATCTATGCTAACCTATGCTCCTTTTTCGTTTTTTCACTTGTACTAAGTTAGCTCTATTGCACTAACCTATAAGTACCCGCATGTTGAGTTCGTAATCTATATCAAGTGCTTATGCTACTAGTCCCTCCCAGGCCCTCTGCGCCCTTGCCAGGTATGTACAAGTATGTGTACACTACCATACCAATTGCTTTCCATTTTCAGCGGCAGGTTGGTCCCCAGCTCGATCACAAATATCCATGTTGAAGACCTGGGCTTTGGGCCTGTGGAGTACGGTCCCTGGTGCAGGACAAAACAGCTGAGGTTAGGTCCCCTGGGAGGCTGGGACAGAGGGTAGGCAGTAATTCCAGACAAACCCTGACTGTACATTAATTTTTTCGTTTTGATGTTCTTGGGTTTGATCAAATGCAGGTGTGCCCTTCGGTTACCGTTATT